AAAAGGAATTTTAATAAATTTAATAGGGCAAAAATATTGAATCAGGTGGGTGAATAAAAAAAATGCAAAATGTGTAACTAAATCCGACATAACTAAAATTTTAAACAAACAAATTGAACTTTAGGATAAATTTGGGCAGAAGGTCATTCATTTGATCAAAAGATAACAAAAATTGGGTATTGTCATTCGTTACATCAATAAAAAAATAACTCCATTTAGACAATTTTATCGGAGTAAATCATGACAAGCAACTCCGAAATTACATGTTTGTCGGATGAACCGAGGTCAAGAGGTTTGAAAGTTTCGAAGATCAGTTAATCTTTATGACATAGCAGCATAGGAAAGAACGTATTCATACGTACGTAAGAAATTAACCATACTTACATAATATTGTGATGATACGTGGGGTAATTACGTACGTATATTAAAAGATTATGTATAGTATATTATTAGTATATTATTACCAGATACGTTTACACGTTAACGTATACGTAAAAGTAATGATAATAATAAAGAAATACGTATAAAATTAGAAGACATACAAATATATATGTACAGTAATAAAGAGAATAAATAAGTCACGAGATATTTAACTTTGTGGTCATTCTTATCAGTTATCGTTCTGCATACCAAGAACTTTGTGCACAGATTAATACATGAGTAAAATTTCAAACCGAAGTTCTTTTAATTAACTTTGTATTCAAGGAGGTATCGTATATGTCACAAAATCAAACCCGATAGGGAAGTTTATTTTTTTTTCTAGGACATGTTTGTTATCGTCAGTTTTTAACGTCAATGGATTATTAGGGATAATAAATTGGGTAAGTTAAAAACGTAATACATTTGTAAAAATTCTTTGAAGAAGAGGCTTTGAGTGAGTTGTGTTGCTCTTATGACTATTACATACTCAAAAGCCGAGATTACATTGACCAAATTGTGATACGTAAAATAACCAAATTCGTTAGCATAATACCCAAAACATATATTGAAGTACCTGAGTTAAAAAGAACTGAGTCAAACTAATAGACTAATAGTGCAGTAGTGTAATACAAAGCCTCACGTGATCAATCATCGTTTTTTAAAACAATAAACCATCTATATATAATGAATTTAGGAAAGTAAGAAAGCAGATATTTTTGATAAGTTAATTATAATTTATATACAGTAAATACTGCTGCAATAGATACAGTAAATCAAGATTATGTCTGCTACCTCATGACCCAATAATCATGATTTTTTTAAATCCATACATTTCTCATGATTGTCAAATATTGTCAAATGATTTTAGTCCAGATGAAGAAAAAAAAAAAAATATGAGAAAAAAATGGAAAAAAATGGAAAAAATGACAAAATTGATGAGAAAAAAAAGATTAAATAAAATTTATAATAATAATAATAATAAAGCCACTAATATAATAAATAATTTTTAATTAATAAATTAATAAATTTATTTTAATAAATTTTTTTTTATTTTATAAATAGTAACAACATTTGTAAATTTGACAGTCGCGTGAAAAGTAAACAAGATTAGAAAGAAAACAGTAATTATTCACACATATCTTTACACAAGTAGAATAACTGAAAAAAACATAGTTTTTTGACATAAAAAGCCAAAAAATAAATTTCAATAAAGATTATAAAATAGGTATAGCCTTGGTAAGATGAACAGATAACAAGAACAATGATAGATTTTTAGAATCTGGCGCAGGTTTTCATAGTCAATGACAATAAAAAGTCAATGGGGGAGGCACTCGTATTCCTGTGACCTCGTGCGTGGCAATGCTAACAATCATCCGAAACAATGTACAGTTTATTCTTGAATCAAAAAAAATTAATCTATATATTTTCCGCAAAAAAAAAAAAAAAAAAAAAAACTGGATTTACTATTCAATTGATCCGGTTTTTTGTTTATATCATGCGATGTTTTTTTTTTTTTTGATAACTGAATTTCTGAATTTGACAAGGTATACTAGTTCTGACTCGGGTATACATAGAAATCATTAACAAAAAATAATAGGTCACAAGAACAAATAATTTCCAAACATAACTCAAATACAGAAATACTTGAAATAGATATGTATGTTCATAGTTATTTTATTACATGTCCGACCATGGTTAGATCTCTTTAAATTTGTTAATTGTCATATTTGATTGGTTTAGTCAAAAATTTTTTAAAAAATCTTATTCGTTGATCAATTGCCGCTAAACTTTACGAAATTTAGAAGTTCAAATCCGATAATTTTTCGGATAAAAAATCAGCCTTTTTTAAAAATACATTAACATTTATCATCATTATTATTGGATAAAATTCTATGGAAACTATTTTTGGGAATTGTTAACATTTTGAAAAATATTGGAAACTCGTTAAAACCAAGTAATCTGCAAGAATTCAATCGATCCTATTTCTAATAATGATATTACTCGTTATATTTCTTGGTCTAACGCTAAGGATTAAAGCCTCCCCCAATAAGCAATGAACAATAAACAATGAGCGGTGAGTAATAGTTTATCAGAGTCAGGGGTGACGAAGATCAAAACAAAAAAAAATTTATTCCTTGCCTAATTCTTGAAACCCTTGTATATCTTTCTGTCTTTATACTGTTATAATAAATATATCTCAAATCTGATTCGACTTAACTATGATCTTTGATAACAAAGTTTTTTTTTTTTTTTTTTTAAGTTTAAAAAAAATTTTTTTGTGAGACTTTATGAAACTAAAGAAATTAAAAAGGGATCGATATTATCTTATTGGTTAATTATAGTCAATTTAACATTGATTCAAATTGATTCAAATGATCAATTTGATCAATTTGATTAAATTGATGAATGATGATAAAATTTTACGAGTTTTGCAAGTTAAAGTTTTCATCTCGCATACATTATGCAAAGTATTAGATGATCAGTCAACCCCTAACCAATCAACCCCCTCTATTTGACCTAACCCCTCTATTAACTCGATTAACTCGATTAACTCGATTGACTATTGACTTATTGACTCGATTGATTGATTAAAAAGTTAACCAATCAACCTAAGCATTACATATGAAAAAAAGATTGACTGTAAAATTAATACTGTAATATTAACGAATATTAAAGAATATTAACGTTTTAACACTTTTAACGCTAACACAACTATCATACTATCATAACTAACATAAACATAGCTACGTAACAACTACAGTATATAACACTAAATTTGTCATTTCGAATAAAAAAATTGTTACACTAATACAATATTTACCTAGTCTTATAAATTTTATTGGTTTTTTAATTTTATTGGTCTTTTTACCATTCGGTTTACTCCTCAGTTTACTAGTTTACTAAAAGTTGTCAAAATGTCTAGTTTGTTTGTTAAATATAGCATTTAATATATATTTTTTTGTCAGATATATATATATATTTATTGAGGTATTTTTTATTTTTTTTTTACAAACAAGATTATTTAATTTGGGTTTACACCTATAGATAGTATTTGTTTTTTTTTCAAAGATTATATAATAATTAGAATTGACTATATATTACGATATTAATGGATTACCTAATAATAATGATAATATATATATTTTATATAGCATATATTATGTCATTATTAATACGTATCGGAAAAGATTCACAATAATGGTGAAAAAAGACTAATAAATAAATTTCTAAAATAAAAAGTTTAAATTAAATTTCAAATTTTTGGAATGTATATACTGCTGTACATACATTCTAAAAACGAAATGTTTCATATATCGAGTTATAAAGATCATATGGTTAGTTTGTACTTACGTACTTACGTATGTATGTAAATAAAATATAAAGAATGCTTTGACTTTGAAACTTTATAATTTTTCGTTCACAATGGTATACTATTATTAGCCATCATTATTGGTATGTATAGTGTTGGAATACACGCAGAAAAATTGTCACGCGAGTAGTACGCGTTTTTTTACCCATGCTTGTTTTTATTTTTTTTTTGAATTTTCGCCGAGAAAAAAAAATACAATATGTATACATTTAAAATAATACATTACAGTACATAATAGAACATAATAGTACATAATAGTACATAATAGTACATCATGATACTTTTACATACATATTATGCATAAGTTTGTTAATAATATGAATATTTGACCTACATTCGAATTTTTTTTTTGTTTGAAAATGTTTGAAAATGGTTGAAAATGTTTTAAATGTTTTAAATTCTGAACCAAACAAATGAAAGTGATGTCTCGTAACATCATATCAAAGTTAATCCTATTTCCTATTTCCTATCTATTTTCTTTTTTTCATTTGATCTATCGGATACCAAAGTACGTAAATACGTAAATACGTAAGTACGTAAATACGTAAATACGTAAGTACGTAAGTACGTACGTAAGTGTACTTACCAGTTACATGCTTTTTGTACGTACATACCAGATACGTACAGTATGTACCTACGTATCTCCCCGTACATAAGTATGTGCGCAAAAGTATGTATGTACACTTCCCCTCTAAAAAAAAAACAAATTTAGAGATATTTTAAATCATATTTTATTTTTGGTGATTTTGGATTATCAAAAATAGTTAACAAGACTTTAAAATCTATATCACATGCTCCAAAAATACTCCAAAATACTTCAGAGTAACGAAGATTCAAAAGATAAGATCGACATTTAACTTGTTGCACGATTTCCTACGTTCAGGTCTTACAGTGTGTTATTCAGTGTACGTATTTCAACATATTGTTGTTTGTGTAAAAGAACGAATTAAGACAATCAAAAGTGAAACAATCGGGGTACATTCATTCAAATTTTTTATTCATTCATTCACTTACTCTTTAGGAATGAAATTCGAAAAGTAGAAAAGTGGGAAATTTTATTATCGTTATTAAAAAAAAAAATTTTTTTTTTATCACAGAATAAAACGAAAAAAGAATTTTTTATTCATTTGAATCAATTTGAATGCTAATTCGATCTATCTCTAAATTATTCTATATTATATATTTATTAAAGTATTGTTTTATTACGTTTTTACGCGAATCGATATTCATTCCTCTTTTAGATTATATTCCCTACTACTTTTGTACATACTCGATACTAATCTAATGGCTTTTTGACGTTAAAAATATACTTTATTAAAAAAAACCTGTTAGGAAACAAGTGAAATGAGAAGAATTTTTTTGCGCATGTACGTACATATCGATACGCATTACGTATACGTATACGTACGTATTATACATATCTGGTATATACTGTATCAAAGTATATACATATATACGTACATACGTACATACATACATACGTAAGTACCGACGTACGTACGTATGTACTGTAAATACTTCGTACGTATCTGATATAGATACGCAAGTTTAACAGTCAAAAAAGATATCGTGATACGATGACATGATTAATTGAATGCTAGTTTATGTATTACAGGCATATAAAAACAAAGATATACGTAACATCAAAATACTTAACAGTTCATTAAGATGTTGAGAATTTTGTAACATAGAATTATTTAGCAAAAAAGAGATTTTTTTGCTACGTGTATGTACAGTACGTAACGATAAATAACAAACAATAAGGCAATTCAATAATAGAAAAGATCATTCATTTATCACTTCCATAATAACTTTCATGATAAGAACTTGCATAAAAAAAATTGTCTTGAGGCTGAAAAGTGAGATTTAATATAGAAATAAATGACAGGCGTAACGTCATGATAAACACGAAAAAAGTCGCGTCTCTATTTAATCGATTTAATGAGGTTAGTATTTAAAAAGAAAAATTTCAATAGTGTGTGATAAAAATGTTTATTGTTTTTGGAATTGCTTGTGAACGGCGTTAGTAATATTATAGTGTAGTATTAAAAGTCTATTTAAAAAAAGTCTTTTTATAATAGTGTGTGATAAAGCTCGTGAACGGCGTTAGTAATATTATAGTATAGTGTTAAAAAAGTTAATTTAAAAAAGGCAATTAAAAAAATCATTTTAAAAAATAAAAAACAATTTTGAATTAAAATTTTTTTTTTAATAAAAAAAAAAAAAAAATCTAAATGTTTATTATTATTTCGAATATAAATTTTAATACGTATCGATATTATCAATTTCGAATATAAAATTTTAATACGTATTGATTGTGCAGCCGTTATTACTATATAATGACGTTTTAAAATGCTACGTAATAAATAATTTAATCAAGTTATTTAAGGTATGTCGGCTTGAAAAGTAGGACGAGATTCATTTAGCATATGATATGATTAAGATTATATAATGTATATCATCAAATCTACCAACCTTTGATCTAACTTAATTATTACCATTACCTCTGAAGAAATTCTTTAAAATAATTAATGTTAAAAAAAAAAATGAATTCTGAAAAATTGGATCGATGAATAACTGGGATTTATGGCACAGTAAAAAACGTATTAGGTATGTAGTACGTATATACATGGCGCAAGAGTATTTGTGGCAAAGTTAGTTATACAGCATATACATGATACGCTATCTATACGTATCGGTATAAATAAATGCTATAAACATTACTATAAAATTAAATAACCGTTACCATAAAAAATGTAACCGGAAAACTTTTACTATAAACATTATTTTAGGGACTGCAATGCAGAAATTTCTGCGGTTTATTTTCCATCTCCACAAAACACATCTCATCATTTTTTTTTTTTTAACAGTTTATTTATTTAAATAACTTCATTTCCTCGTGGGGGTTTTTTTTTTTTATATATATATACCGATATTAACTGTCAAAATATGATGATATTCTCGAGACATTAAATTACATAAATGTACATCAATCAATACAGTTAGTTATACATCGAAAAGTAATTAAAATTTTTTTTTAATAACAATAATCTTGAATTAATTGAATTATTAATATTAACATCGGAAAAATATTGAACATTAACAATCGGAATAAATAAATAATCTTGAATTAACATTAATATCGAATAATATTTGAAAGATATAATCTTGAATAAAGATTGGATAAGATAGTTTTGAATAAGATAGTTTTGAATAGGATTGTTTTGAATAAGATAGTTTTGAATAAGATTATTTTGAATTAGATTAAAAATAAAATCGAATTAAATAATTACGTTCTCAAATAAAGAACCTCCTTAAAAATTTTAAGGGAAATGAAAATTCACTTTGTCATCTCTTTTTAGGATTTGAAACAATAACATTTCTACGTACCTACCTACCTACGCACCTATCTACCTACCTACCTATCTATATGAGAATTCATAGTTTTATAATTCATTCATTTCATCGGTTCGTCTCAATTATGAATGAATTAGAATGAATTAGAATGAATTAGAATGAATTATGAATAATTTACATGTGAATGATTTTAATATACCGATACTTATTTCAAATATCTTTGTCATCTCTAAATAGCTAGCATTTTAATGTAGGTTTGTTATATGACGCGACAAAATAAAGTTCGTCTTTGTTGTTTTTTATCTTTATAATCTTTTGTTATTTTATCATATGCTTTATGTATCACACGTATCACATGTATCACATTACCATATTTTTCCGCCTGTGTAACGATCCTGATGTCACGGGATGCAGAAAATACTAGATCTGTCCTACTGTAAAATCCTGCAACAAGACAAGGCATGAATTTTTTGTTCTACGATATGACACAGTCATACACAGTGTCAGACTGTATCCTTATACTGTGTCATTCATTACAGCTATTACAGCTGTGTCATAGACTGCTGGGTTGTGTCATTAACTATGTCATTAACTGTGTCATACGTCGTGTAATGCTGTCATGAGATCCATATCTTTATCAGCTGATATGAAGATCAATTCACCTCTACTACAACAGTATAAGTCGTTTTTAACAGTTTTTTTTTTTAGTTTATCGATTTTATCTTTATTGGGATTGGTCGGTTGATCTTTTAACCATAACGATGATAGTAGATGAAATTTTACCTGTTTGTTACACTTGTTACAATGGTAAGACATATTATTAATTTATATAAAGATTTAGTTATAATAATCATTATAAAGTTTTTAAAGTTTTATAGTCATTATTCGTTATAGTCATTATAAATAACACAGGGGCGACATAGGTTTGTAAACGGCACATAAGTCGCATAAGTCGCATAAGACACATATAAAACATAGGAAATCAAAGCCACGCGATACATGAACACGTTAGTAGTACGATTTAACTTAGTCGCGCCAAATCTCCTAAATTGTTAAACCAAAATCTTACCGGCGAATCGCGAACTCCAAAGGGAATCACCTCCTCCTTTTTTCTAAATTTGAAATTAGTCAAAAATAATTATAAAAATATATAGAGTGACAAAGAAATTTCTACTTTTGGTTTTTTTTTTTTTTCAAGAAAAAAAAATTTTTTTTCATATAGTCTCATGATTAGTAATTGTATTACGTTATGCATATTCAAAGTAAATTATATATATTTTTTATTCATTCAATTTTTTAAATCCGTTTCTTTACAATCAATAAGATAATCATTAAAGAGAATAAGTTATTAACGGTTATCGATCGAAAAGAAAAAAAAAGAGACAATAAAAAAATTTTTTTACTTGTCTTTTTTTTTTACTGCATTATATACCAATATACTATGTATCTATGTGAATTTTAATTGTCTTTGTTTTTTTAGAATTTCTGACATCCGCACATGGAATGTTTATCAAAAAAAATCTTTTACAAATGAAAAAAAAATACTTGGTCATACCTCATGATCAGGATTAATTTAATCATCATATCTGACTGGTACAATTTTGATAAACAAAGTAAAATGTACGCACATATTCAATGTCCGCGTGATTTTATATTATATGATGTGAATTCCCTATTATTGTCATTACTACCTATTTTACATATTATTACATATACTATATTTTACGATAGTTTAAATTACTATCTGCTATATAAATCGATATATCGATACGTATACGTATCATGTACTATTTAACTATTACACTATGTATACTGTATACTGCACTATATATATATATATTTATTGTATTTAATAACTATATCCACTATTACAGTACTATATTACCCAACATTTTTAACTGGTAATCGAACTGAATCGGAAAAATCGATCGATCATTTATCATGACATCAGTTGAATGAAATAAAGAGGATTTTTTTTTATCATTCCGGGGTTTTTTAAAAAGATTATTACTTAGTACACTTAGTACACGTGTTAATTTTTTGGAATATACTATTATATATATTTGGCATATCGATAATATCAAAATATATATATCAAAATCATGCTTTTTTCCAAATGACCAAAATTATACACAGTATTAAATATATATATGTTTATATATCTATTAAATACAATAGAAAAGGAAAATATTAGATTTACGTATAGATAGATTTACAATAGATTATAGATTATTAATACGTTATGTTTTTTTTAAACAACAATATAAAAATTTTCATCTTTATCCTATGTAAAATTAAGTCTCATACAAAATTATCCGAAAATACCAAATATGGTTTCCTGGTATGTTTTTTTTAATAAAGGAAATATATTTAAAACCAAATGTTTTTTTTCAACGATCATTATTCTAACTGTTTAGTGACTGTCTAGTAACCGTTTAGAAACTGTTTAGAGTTTAAAAATAAATGGAAAATAAAAATTCTTTCTTTTATTGTCTAAGAGTTTTTTATATCTGACACATCAAAAAAAAAAAAAAAAAAAAAGTCTTTTTTTAATTTGAGCACAAGATCATGAAAATAAAACTGAACGTAAATTTATTCATGAAAATCTTTAAGTGCGTGACCTTATAGATGTAGGTATTTTTAGTATTTTAGTGGTGCCTTTTGATTTTTGATTATCAAACTAGAAAATTGTGTAATGTCCGAAACTAACAATGAAACAGTAAACAATATATTACTTGCATACATATATATATATATATATGATATGTACATATATATATATATATATGTCTATATATATCTATCTATATATATTTTCGAATATATACTCGATATATATATGTTATAAATACAGTAATATATATATATGTAAAAAACAGATAATATACTAATCAATCTAAGTTACGATGTCTTTTCCAAGTATATGCTCGTATATGCTTGAAATTGTAACATTTTTTCATAATCATCAAATGTTTTTCAATAATTTTTATCGTTAGAAAGATTTTTAAAAAATGATTATTTTTGAATGGTTCAGAATGGTATTAATTCTAGACACGTGATGTGTATTGATATAACATAATCGCTGGTATACATGTAAAAACTATATAAAAAAAAAAATTTTTTTTTATATATGAATTGTTTGTTTTTTTTTATTATTATTATTCTAAAAGAAAAAATTTTATTTTATTTTATTTTATTTTAATTATTTTATTCAGTTACTCGAAATCATATGCTCCACTTGATTGCATACAAATAAATACGCATCTTTTGAGGCCATATCGATATACAGTAGATAAAAAACGAATTTCACTATATAATATAAAAAAAAAAATTTTTTTTTTTTTTTAATATATTCGTATACATTTTATTTTAATGTAACGAATATATTTTATTATCAGTATCATATATAAGCTGGAACAAAATCTCTTCTTGAAAGAATAAAAAAACTTTACTATTACTTTTTACCATTTTAATAATTTTCACCGACGACCGTCAAAACAAAAATTTTGTTTTTCTTTGTTAACTTCTTTTCGAAGTCCCTTTCTTTTTATTACCTTTCGAACTTTTCTTTTCTTTTCTTCTTTTCTTACGACGGTAACGTTTTTAAAAATCACGACAAAAAAAAAAAAATTTTTATTAAAAAAAACTATACAAGATGACTTGTTCTTCTCGTTGTTATGATGACTCGGATGCTACTGATTATAGTTATCAAAACTCTGATACCGATATGCAACCTCATTATAACGATGAGGTTGTTAGTAATCAACAGAATGGTAAAACTTATAAAACTTATAAACCTTTACCCTCCAACTGTACTGGTAATTATTTTATTTCAATATTTCAATATTTCAATAAATAAATATATTCAATAATTTTTTTACATTATTATTATTTATTTATTATATAATAATTATAATTAATATTAAATTCATTTTATTATTATTTTAGACTTTTTTGCAGAAAGTTTATGTGGAATATTAGAACTTCCAACTCATCCTAAACGAATCTTTGAAGATTTTGTACCGCTACCTGAACTATTACTTTTTATTCAAAAAGTTACCACTAAAGCTCGAATCGATGTTCGAACAATTATAATAGCGTTGATTCTAGTTTTAAGATTTAAGAGAAAGATACAAAATAAGTTACCAAAAAATAAAATACAAGGAGAATATGGTAATTATTTTTAACGTTGTTTTTCTTTTTTTCATTGTTCATTATCTTTTTTTTTTTTTTTTTTTTTTTTTTTTTTTTTTTTTTTTTTTTTTTTTTTTTTTTTTTTTTTTTTTTTTTTTTTTTGTTGTGGTATCATATGATACATCTTCAAGTCTCGTGGCTACTTATTGATAGACCCGATGATTCCGATGGCTCAGATAGTCCGATAAAATTCGTGGATCTTTTGGTTCAACGAATTTCAACGAATATCTGTTACACCTTTTCGCGTCTTCTGACTGGTCACATTTTTTTTTTGCATGTTATCATGTGAACATCTATATTCAATTTTCTTATTGGATCAAAAACTTTTGTAATGCGGAGTCTTTATATGCACGCCGCAAACACTAAACCAAATATAGTATAGTATTAGGATAATTAATAGAATAGTATTTTAGTAATTAGTATTTTAATAATTAGTATATTATATCATACTTTAATTATTATATATATTATATATTATATAATTAATCATTATTAATCATTATTTTTCTTTTTTTTAATTTAATTTTATAGGAACATGCCATAAAATATTTCTATCCGCTATTATTGTTGCTTTAAAGTTCTCATTTGGAACATTTCCTTACAATTCAACATCACCATCTACCTCAGAAGAAGAATTACCTTTACCGAAATCACCATGTGATGAAATACCAATTAATGAGCAAGAAAATTTATCAGAAACAAATAATCCAATGATACTTTCAACAACACCTTCATCAGTCTCATCAAACGCATCATTAGATTATGATGAATTAGCTTCACAACAATTTAATAATCATGAACATTCATTAAATTCGATAAATCAAAGAATTGCTGAAAGTTCTGGAATTTTTTCGATAAATGAAATTAATAAGGCGGAAAAATCATTCCTTAAAATCTTGGGAAAATTTCAAGTTAGTGATGAAAATGTTCGAGATTTTATAGAAAGTAACAGACAAGCTTTAGGAATATGGTGAATCTTGATCTTGGGTATTGGTGTTATGCATTATAATGGTTTTGGTAATAGCTGGTTTTTTAAGCTATTTTTTTTTTTTTTAAATATATATAATATATAACCTCCTTCCCTCAGTACCAAAATTTTGTATCATATTCTTTTACATTTTTTTTTTTACGTAATAGAAGGCAACATTTTATTTCTTTCTTTCTTTTTTTTATTTTCTCATCGGTGATAATATTCTTACTATATTATTCTTTAATTGTGGGATACCAAAGAGTGAATTTGTATTTCCTGTACTTCTTGTACTTTCTATACTTTTCTATACTTTCTATACTTCTATACTTCGATACTTCGATACTTCTATACTTCCCACGGATTTTTTTTCAATAACCACTATTTGCTTGCTGTTAGGTAAATCATTAATACGCAATAACTTACAAACCTAAAATTAATAACAACATCACTCACGTTAATATTTCACCAGATTTCTTTATCCATACACTTTTTTTTTTTTCATTCTTTGTAAATATTTTTTATAATAATTAGTTGCCAAAAATGTTTTGGTCGAGGGTATTATAAATGTGGTTATATATATTCGAGTTGCCTTCACAATTTAATTCAAATAATTCAAATTCAAATTTAAATCTAAATCAATTTCAATTTCTCAATGTGCATTTTGTATTTTTGATGTTTTTTTTTTTTTTTTCTTGTGTAAAAATTATCAATATTTGCATGACGAATATAAAAAAAAAAAAAAAAACCATTTATTTTGATTTTTAATTTTATTCAAAAAAGATAAAAAGATTTTAATATTATTCAAAAAAGATTTTATAAGTTGATAAAAAAAAAAAAAAAATTTATAATATAATAGTAATTAATAATAATAATAAAGACTTCAAAAAAAAAACCAACATTCGAATTCGATAATTACAGTATACTGTATCAAGTATTCCTTTATTTTTTTATTCATTCATTCATTTTGTTCATTTATGTATACTTTCGTTATTTGATCGCTTACATATGTGTGAGAATTATCGCAAACATACATTCATACATTTTAAAAAGTTCTAATGGCATGCATCATCACAGTCACAGAAGTAAAAGTTCATGTAAAGTTCAAGTGAAGCTTCTAGTCAACAATATTGATCATACCTGGGTTTTGGTAATGCATTTGTTTTTTCTAAAATTATTATCATACATTTACCTATTACTGACTAATCATGTATGTACTGTACGTACGCACGCATTAAACCTTTTCGTTTACTAAAGAAAGTTCACCTAATTAATCATCTGACATATCTATATAGTGTATATATCAATATCGATATACCTTATGCATTACTTATAACAAACTCTACATACATTACTTTATCTCTAAATGCAGTACATGAATAGTCTGTCAGGTGTCTTTAGTTCTGTGCACTGCCAAAAGGTGTGTGGGAATTTTTTTATGGCCTGGGTAATCGATGACATTGACAAGGATTCGCGGATTAATTTACACTGTCCGCTCCCATGACTATTACCAAGATAATCAATAATGATAGTTCCCAGTTCAGGGTAACGTTCCCGTTATTTGTGATTTTGATTTTGTGGCTTTATTAAATTCAAACCTTTTTTTCAATTGTAATATTGTAATACTGTAAATATGTTTAAAATTTTTTACAATCGTTTATTGTTCTTCCAAATTTTTTGGGTTGAAAGAATTTCCATTCTCCGATTGACACAAAAAAACTTGAAATGACCAGAATAAAAATGATAACCAAGACTTACTGTATCAAAAAAAAAAAAGCCTCTTTTCCTATAATAAATTTTATAAATACGATAAGTTTATCATGATCGATATATTAAATTCAAATAAATCCAACTTTGGAAAAAAAAGTCGGATTTTTATAAAGATCAATAAAGATCAATGCACAATTTTTGGACATTCTTTGAACTTTCTTCATAACCGTTTTTGTATGTTTGTACAATGGAATTTTTTTTATATTTCAGTAATTTTGTGTATTATATTCTATGCAAAAAAAAAAAAATCCAAATGCGTTTAAAAATTTTTATTATGTATTTAATGACAAAAAGTAAGTTTTATTACCATTTCTGGTTCACATAAAAAATTGATTTTGATTTTTTTGTCGTATTAATACGAATCCTACATGCGGATGGATTGTAACACATCATTAATAAACTGTACTTATTGCTAAATAACAATTATCAATTCCTACATATCCAATATTTTGTATGTTACCACAATTTGAACATGTCTTCGAAGTGTATGCCTCATCTTGGATCACAATTTTCATGCCAGTTTCTTCGGCTTTGGATTTTAAACATATAATGTGACCATGTTAACATGCTTCTCACGACCTTGGATTTGATTTTTCTTTTTTCTTTTTTTATTCCGGAATTATCTTTTTGTGAAGTTCATTTCTCAAATTTTTGATTTTTCGAAATATTCGAGTAATAGCTTTATCGATTCTTTTGGCTTTTTTCTTTTTTCTTCTGGACGATGAATTGTTTAGTTTGTCTCTTTTTGAGCTTAGTTTATCAGCATGATACCCCAATCTTATCAATCTCTGCGAATCGCTCTTACCAATTTCAAGAGTACCTGTGATTGGTGAGTACATCACAAACGGGGTTCTCACACCCGGGTCTATTGCTACAAATTTTTCGTATGTTTCTTTAGCTTTTATTGATCTTTCATGCGTCCATGATAAGAACCATTCGTTTGTTTTATGATAATATGTTAGTTTACAATCTTGTTCAAATGTTAATGGCCATTTATTGTTTTTTCTTTTGGTTTCAAAATGGCCGGATCGTAAATCTCTCTTTCCCAAGATTGGCTCATTCGGTTTATTCCTATCTGATATCATATTTTTATTGAATAAATATCTCACATAAAATCTTTCATATTCTTTTTTTGAAAAATGATTTGCATGTATACTAACAGTATGTTTCAGATCTTTCTTTGATTTGTATGATAACTTCTTTAGCATTGTAATTTTTGATTGCTTCATCAATGGTCTCATCCATAATATTATTAGGAACTTCACCGTATACGTTTTTGGTTCTTAGTTTCAAGTACTTAAATATTGTGTTTTTGGAAATTTTATTGATTTCCGAAATTTAGTATTATCATCATTGATGTGAACAATAATGTGACGCCTTTTTTGAGATATTCAATAACTGTGTTATAAATCAATCTCATAAATCCCATTCATCGTTTCAGCAATTTTTTTTGTGCATGATTCGGATACAATTTCATTTTCAATGACCGAATCACGCTTTCGTTTATTTTTCTTTTTTTATTTTTTTCTCACCATCGTAATCTTTTTTTTTCTTTCTTTTTTTTCTATGTTCGGTTGCTCATCTTTGCATTCTGGTGTTGATGGCAAGGATATCCTCAGATAACTTATGTTCATTGGTTGTCGACTTGTCACAGAGAACCATGAATTTTGTAGAACAGAGTTTGAAGACATACTTGAGAAGTTTGTACACGAATCTACACAATTGATATCCACAATTTTTCAGACAAGGCCTTTGCACGATCATTCCAATATTCCAAGTTTTTTTGTTGGGACAGAAACATTTTTTAACTAACAGAGATAAAGTTGAAACCTTTTTATACATATTTTATTTAATAAGCTTACTAATTAAATAATTAATACGTAACTCGAATAATTCGAGTCCGAATCATAAAATTTTTAACTCGCGAGTACTCAAGTTAATTATTAACGTTAATGTATAATACCCTTTGCATTGATAAAATTTGTAAACTGTAAGGTTATAATTTAGCGTAATTCTTTAAAATTAAGTACGTAATTTATTGCAATCGCAAATTTTTAATAAAAATAAATGGTAATTTATTGACTATTCGCTTTATTACAGGATTCTTCCTGTTCACTATTGCTCAATGTTTGTATTATGTAATTGTTTTTAAGTCTTAAATTTTTTATTTTTTAAAAAAAATTTGCGATTGCAAAACACAACTACCAAAGGTAGAACTCCAAGTTTCATTTGGACTCGTATATATTTGCTTAAAAACATAAATTCGTAACTTGCAATTTATAAATTTACAACAAAACTCGAGTAAGTAATTAAAACGAATAATTCGAGTACTCTTTCTGAATTTAATTCGCGAGTTACGAGTCCAGTCTCTAACGGTAAAGTGCGAAACGTTCGCCAAAGTATCCGGCGTGACAAATAACGTAGATCAATTTTTAAATTATTATTTATACATCATGTGATGTGTAACGCTTGTGATTCAAAAATCTTTCAAAATGTAAAAAAATTGGGTACTTTGGCGCTAATTTAGTTTCATTGTTTCATTGTTTCACTAAAAAATTTCGAATAAACTAGATTAATCTGAGTTGTTTACCAGATCCAGGAAATTTTACGTGTAACATAAACTAATTGGAGAAACTAATGTCGGTACGCCATAGCCATTACTAATTAAAGTTTTTTGACCTTTTTACACAATTTCTTTCTTTTTACCTGATTTAGTTTTGACATCAAAAAAAAGTACGTAGTACTGAGTAGTACGTACGTGTATTACTGTATTAGCGGAAATATATAAAATAATGTTTTTTTAGGATTTTTAGAATCTTTAGAATTTTTTAGAATTTTTTAGAATCTTTAGAATTTTTTAGAACTTTCAGAATCTTTTAAGTTCGTTTCTTTTTAATTACAATATAATAATAAAATTATACATACGTACGTACATTTTCTAACGCTAACGCTAATGAGTATTAATTATACAGTAATATGTATCAACTGTTCTGCCAATGTGGTTTTCGCATAAAAATGAAAAAAAAGGAAAAAAAAAAGAAAAAAAAAAAAGGAAAACTGGTAATAGACAAGTTTTAATTTCTTTTTTCGGTTTTTCCTTGATTATATTAATATAAACTAAGATAAGTAAAAGTGCTGAGTCGGCGAGGTATCACAAAATTATCAACCTGTACATTATATTATGCATGTGATACATTATACATTCGTGATCTAAATTTTATTTTTTTCAATTTCAAT